ACTATATGCGGAAAGATGCCGAGAGTATCTGTGGCCTTCTCCCACTATTTGAGATGCACGGAACTTCTTTTGATGTTGTCCTCGTTGGAAATTTGTATACCATAGCGGCAATGTTGGCGTAGCGTTGCTATGGGCGACAAAAACCGCCATTTGAATTTGTTTTTAGGTTAGGAACTATTACATGACTGTCATATGTGTGTGTAGTGCTGATAGAATGACGGGTATTAGATCGAACGGCCCGAAAGATTTTCCAAGGATTGCTAAAGAAATGGGCTTCAATTTTAGTTTGCGAAGGGGCAGAGTGGACTGGCACAAAATTGGTGTGTAAAATGCATGCAATATATTACGTACTGTGCACTCTTATGCAGCAGTGGAGCTGCATAAAATTAACCACACACACCTATGCACGAACTCCATGGTATTTTCCCCTCTCTTTTCCTTTTAATCTACTCAGCATAAAGTCTCTAGCATCAATACTTTGTCACATGGCACATAGTTTAATATTTATTATTTCATCAGATAGAAGTGCTGATTAAGTATTGCCTAAGTCTAATGTGACCATACCAAATCATGAAGGTGTAACTAAGTGGGATCATTAATGACTTAGCATGTGACATGGTGGCGCAGCATATTGTAATCTGTACATTAATTAAACTCTTAAACTGGCATGATAGAAGTGAACTGGCATAATGAATATTCCTATTTTTAGCATTTCAAGTTCACTGTTGCAGTAAGTGCATTTTAGTTTTACCTTCGAAGTTTGGTGTAATGTGACATAATATTGCTGCTAGGGTTATCAGTGTTATATTTCAAAATGTGGTAGACGCTATGTTAAGGTAGGCAGACAAGTGCCTAACTTTCTACAGTCCTCAAAAATGCCAACACCAACTCCTTCATTGGGCACAACATTGATTCGTTTCAGTTCAATAAGTCTGGAGGATTTATTGTGTTTGAAGTCATTCAAAGTAGGATCATTTTCCAAGTTGTGTCATCCATTTCTAACTTTTCCTAATACTCTAGCTTGAGCAAAGGACATCTTATGGTTCTGTAGTATAGCATCAAGAGCCACGGTGGTCTAGCGGTTAGAACGCTGGCCTTATAATCCTGGGGTCTCGGGTTCGATTCCTGGCGGTGCCCGAATTTATAACTTGTGTTGGGCAAGGCCGTGGTCTAGGCAACACAGAGTTTTCCTCCGGGGGCTTCCCCGGTTTCTCCGTGGCATCCCAACAATTACTCCATTCACACACAGAAGAAGGCAATGGCAAACCACTTCTGGATCATCTGCCAAGAACGTATATGAACAGGTCCCAGTCCGAGAAAAGGATGGAAGGATCCTGTTCATATGGACCTGACGTCAGACAGAGCACTAAATAATAATAATAATAATATATAATATAATAGTATAGCATCCTGTATGTTATGTTGATTCTTGATGATCATTATCCAGTCACTTTTTCAAACATTCAGTGTTCAGTAGTTTTATTTTGTGTAACTTCTTCCTGTCTATCTAACTAGCCAAAACCCTGGTATTTTCCAAGGGGGGAAAGCAAACCGAGGTAGTTGCGATATTAGGGT